CCACGAGTTGTTCATTTGGTGTTAAAGCTACAAAGGAAAAAACGTTTTCCTAAGGTAGACCTGGCCATGCGTATGAACAAATAGAACTCGATGATTTGACGACAATAACTACACATGAGAGTATGTATGGATATAACATACTCTCGGATGGCATGGCATCAGCGCCGGGCCTATTCCAGAGGGAAATGGAAAGAGTGTTGTGTAAACTTTCGAGAGTAGCGCTATATTTTGCTAATGTCATTGTATCGGGTAAAGCAGGCGAGGAGCATTATGTGAAACTGCTGGTGGTGCTGCAACGATTTTAGAGAGTGGTCTGATAGTATAGGTAGAGAAATACGGGTTCGCGCAGCGTAGAATAAGATTTTTGGTGTACTTGCTAGACGATAAAGGATTGCGAGTAGATCCAGAGAAAATTAATCCAATAATTAATATGACCCCCTACTAATGTAAAACAGCTGCAGATTTTTATCGGTGCCCTTACATATAATTCAAAATTTATTAAAAACTGAAACGATTACGAGCCCGCTGTATGATTTGTTGAGGAAGATGTAGAATAGCGTTGGACGCCAGAGAAAGAAAAAACCTTTCAAAGTGCAAAAAATAGTTTAATCCAGCATGGTGTTTTAGTTCATTGTAATTCATAGTTACCGGTCAAAATATCGTATGATACTTCACCGTATGGTTTGAGGGCAGTGCTATTCTACGTTTTACCGTCGGGCAAATGCAAGCCTGTCGCTTAGTACCTTGAGCCGAGCCGAGCGAAACTATACGCAGCTTAATCAGGAGACTTTAGCGTTGGTTTTGGCGTGAAATCATTTCACCATTGCGTGCATGGTCGGGATTTTGTGCTTGAGACAGATCATAAGCTACTGGCGTACATCTTTAGGAAAAAGGGCGTTCCGGTGATTGCAAATAGTAGGGTGCAGCGAGGGCCGTTTTTTTGTCAGGATATAATTTCGATGTCAGGTACATCAAAGGAATAGAGAACCATCCGGCAGATGCATTGTCAAGAGTCTTGACTAGTCTTGAATCATGCAGCGCGGATAACGAAGGATACAATTATTTGAATTTTGTGCAAGATGAATCGAAACTTGTTTATGTCGACGTTTTTCAGCGTAAAACGTTGCGTGGCATAATCTTAAGACAGGTGCGGATATATCTAACTTGAGGGCGAACGGAAAATGTAGCAGAAAGCCTCAAACTGTATAAGAATAGGCACCTTAAATTAACATTAGAAAGCGGCTGCACTTGGTGGAGCCATCGAATTATCGTCCTAGATGCGCTTAAGAAAAAAGTTCTCGAGGAGCTCCATGGCATCCACTTGGGCATCGTAGAGATGAAGTTGCTGGCTCGGTCGTACGTCTAGTGACCCTAAATAGATAAAAATATTGAGACCAATGTTAAACTGTGTGATTTGTGTATGCAATATAATCACAATCTACCACGTGCCACACTACACGTATGGAGGTGGCCGGACGTGCCGACGTAACGCATTCATGTAAATTTCTGTGGTCCCATGGGGTGCATGTATATTGTTATCATGGATGCGTATTCAAAGTAGATAGGTATACGGGAGCCTTCAAATATTAAGGCAGCAACTACGATCCAAGAGCTAAAAGAATATGAAGTGTGTGAGGACTTCCAATAACGGTGATAAGCGATAATGGCCCAATATTTACACCAAACGAATTTCAGTCTTTTCTGAGAAGTAACAATATTGAGCGTTCCAGGTTGGCTCTGTATGACCCACCTTCGAACGATGCAGCCAAAAAAGCGATTAAGACCTTTAAAGAAAAATTTTAATTGTTAATTAAAACACTGTCATAATATAATTCACTTTGTATTTCTATTATCACGTGGCCCTATAGTGCACTACAGAGTGTTCATTAGCCCAGCTCCAGCTGGGCTGGGAACTCCGAACGCGATTGGAAGCGATAGATGCATCGGTTCAGATTAGAGTGAAGAGAAAACAAGATAGGCAAAAGCAGTGTTATGAAGGTAGCCAAAATCGAGTGACTTTAACGAGGACTAGATGATAATGATCAAAGATGTTATTGCGAATCAACGGCACCAAGCTGAAATTGTTGATAAATGTAGTGCAGTAACTTACCATGTTAAATTAAACGATGATCAAATTCGGAAGAGACACGTCGATCAGCTATGTACACGGCAAGAGGCGTTACAGCCAACCGTTCGTCCAGTTAAACGCGTTGTATGTAATCATGTAACCACGGGCATTCAGGGTGAGTTCACGGAGCCAATGCTCTAGGAAGCATAATGTGGCGAGCAGACGCTTGCGAGCGTCGATTTAGGGATAAGGAGTGAGCCACGATGCTCAGAGAGAGTACGAAAGGCTACAGAGCGATTCCAGTTATAGCGAGACGTTTTTTTTAGTAAGTGTGGAGGAGTGCTGTATATCGGTATCCGGTGCCTAATATGACTGAAGCAGTGTGTGTATATGACTGAAGAAGAGCCCTGATAGCGTGAGCCACACTTGGCTATACAGATGTAGTGTAGTTGCTATACAGTAAGTGGTGTGTGGAGGGAAAAAGACGTGGGTCAATATTGCGTGGGAAGTTGAGTGAAGGAGGAGTAACATGCAAAATCCACTTCTGTTACACATTTTCTTAAGGTCACTAATCTGAAATCGTTGATTTACTCTCACGCATAACGCTCCTATAGAAAATATAACTTCAAAAAATTATTTAGAATATTAAAAACATAATTTCGATGTGAGGGCTGTTGAACAGAGCACGCAAGGGGGAAAGCATTTATCAAAAGCATTGTACACATGTATGAGTTTTCGAGTGTTTCAATACTTTTACACTGCGCACGTCTCGTAGTCCAACTATTCAACTTCGTATCGATGAAGCGTCATTATATATATAGATGCTACTATATTATTTGAAAGTTTTTTGTTGTTAGCGGTTCTATTTAACGTTTAACTGTTGTTTTTTAAATAAAAAAATTTTGTGTACATTAAAGCACCTGAAATGTTTTGTGGTTTTCTGTTGTCTATACAATCAAAACTTTGTGCAATTTAAATGAAAGACCACTAACTGTAATTTCCATACAAAAATGTGTAACGTATTATGGTTTTTCTAAGGTTATTACAGATATAGTTATACATAAAATTCCATCTGATTTTTTTAGATTAGTCATGTGGCAGCATCCGTTGGGATAATTAAGCTTTGGTTTCCATGTCATAACGATAAACTCATGATTCATCACAAATGGTGATCCTCTGAAGTAAATCTAGGTCGTCATGGACCAAGCCCAACGTCATTGGTTACAATCAAATAGAACGAGCCAATTAATATTTTAAGGTTCTTAGCATCTTTTTTAACGGTGATAAGACTATTTTTTGCACTTCATCAATATTTTTGTCTGTTTTTAACGTATTCAGGCGTTTGGTACGCTTTTTGTCGTTGACATTTTTTCAGCCATCTAAGAACATTTTGTACTACTGATGAACGTTGTTTTTTCCAAGGTAGACAGTTACAAAATTTTATATGCATGGATTCTTCAATTTGAATTTTAGAATAATCATTAATCAAAGACAAGCCAACACACATCCAAGCAAAAAAGCTGTTAAAAGTTAACTTAACATTAAAAATGGCTGCTATTAACAAAATTCATGACGATCATAGTACGAACATAACATTATACAAAAATTTTAATTGAATACACGTAGCCCGCGGATATTTAAAATTCACGATAGTTTTTCAAACAGACCTTGTATATAACTATCATTGGAAAGTTATGCTTACTGTTTGCGCAAGTACGATTTTATCCTTATAATTAAGATTCCAATTTTTTTTCAACACGTCTGCACAAGTTACCCTTTATAAGCACGTACACATACACACATATAGACCCACGCATACATATTAGCAAAATTTCAGAGCAGTGTATGTTTTTTATGCTGTAATTTTCTTATAAACATTATACTTATCGACAATTTTAAAGATACAAAGTAAAGCGTTTTTCAGTATTAACTAGCAAAATAATGCAAAGTTTTTACACTTTCAAAATGACTAAAGTCAATGAGTATAGCTAAAGCGCTTTTAATGCATATATTTTTTTAAATGATAAAATCTGTTGTTACAGAAGTGGCGTGTCTATTCATGAATTTCAAATTATTAGTAAATATAGTTGTAAACAACATAAGCGATTTCATGAGAAAAAAAGAAAGAAAAGAAAAGTCTACTATTTTTGTAATAGTAACAAATCTGAAAAGTTTTCTATGTATTGTTATCTATCACATTGAGAAAGAACATTTAATCTTATGTATCAACAGCTGTTTTCTTCTATTTCTGAAACCTTCTGTGAATTGTGTAAAAAATTATTTTATTCACAGTACCTACAGGATCACACAATTTCTACATATAAACAAATTTTATGCCACTTTAGAGTGTAGGACCTAGCTAATGCCTGATTTTAATTTCTGAATGAATAGTAAGCAAATAACTTATAATTAAAAATCACCGTGATCTATAGAAAACAGCCTTCGTAATACATTGCAAATTGTTTCTCAAAACTAACGATGTGCTACTAGGAAGAAAATGAAACCGAAATGTCAGATTTTCAATAAACGTGTGATTTGGGTTCCTGTGATTATTTAGTGAAATTTTTTCGAGAACACATTTGATTTTTGAAACTATACTACTGAAAATACCACTTTACGACAATGGTATTTACTGCACTCATATCAATCAAGTTTGCCCACAGCTCTGGTAAAAAACTGTTACTGATATGAATGATATGAGTATTACTGATGAGACCAAACCGTCTTTTGCAGATGGAAGACGATTAATTATGCCTGTAAATACGCATGTCACTTAAATGCTCTTTTTAAAAATTATATGTTGATTAGTACTAACTGAAGAAATTGTCTGTTATGATTTTTAAAATCAACTTGAATTATTTTAAGATAAAAATATAAATATATCTTATAAGTTCTTTTTTGTAAATCGCTAAAAGTAATGTTTATTTCAAAGTAAAATTTTGAACTCATTTCCGTGAACAATAAAATCACTTACACTCACTGATATTAAAAAGAATGACTGAAATGAAAATGGTTGTAATCTTAAAATTGTACTTCTTGATTCTCCTTGTACAATTTACGTTTGTATAAGCTTTTGTATAATGATATACTTAACATTTATATAGTAATTAAAAAAAACATATTTATAAAATGGTTTAAAAAAAAGTTATAAAATAAGTTTTTTGTAAACAGTTGTCATTTCTGGTCTGTTTTCGGCTAATTTGTTGGAGCACCATTTTCCAAGTCTGATTATGTATGAAAATATATCCGTTAACGATTCTCCCGCTTGTTCATCTTTTAATACATGCATATTTTTTTCATCAAAACTATCCACATATTCTTTAAGACGTTTGTTTCTAGATCGTGTTTTATCATATGCAGGTAGACCAGTTGCCAATTCGAATAGTACTATACCATAACTGTACGTGTCAATTTTAGTAGATAAATTACGTTCTAATATATACTCTTCAGGTAAATAAGGTCTAGTTCCCTGGATTTTGCTAACCTAAATATGAGTTTAATAACGTTTTTAATTTTATTTTAGTTAAGTTTATGCAATAAAGGAGTACAATCCCACCTACTTTTAAATAGTTATCAGAAGATCCTTCTCTTGCTAACCCAAAATCTCCGATTTTTGGCTCAAAATTTTTATCTAATAAAATATTAGCACTTTTAATATCTCCATGAATCAGAGGTTTCTGATGCACTGTATGAAGGTATTGCAAGCCGCGTGCTGTTCCTTTTGCAATTTCCTCTCTTTGCGACCAACTGAGAGGCAATATTCCTCGTTTCATCTGCAACCTGTCTTCCAACGAACCATTTTTCATACATTGGTAAACAAGACAAGGCGCTTTACCATCTATGCTATATGCGTACAACGGTAGGATATTTTCATGAGGCAATGAATTTAATATTTTTATTTCTCGAAACGACTGCTCTAGTTGAAGAGCATAACTCTCATCGTAATCAGAACTTCTTGGCTCAATCTTTTTTATGGCTACTTCAGTATTCTTCCAAATACCTAAGTTTTTGAAAGAGAAAAAATCAATGAATAAAATTTAGTGAGACCACTAAATAACTAATTTAATCAAATAAATATTATTTTACTATTTAATACAATCAGTGTACCTTTAAAAACAATACCGAACCCTCCTTTTCCAAGAACATTCTCTTTTTTCCAATAATCCGTAGCAGTTGCTAGCTCACTGTATAAGATACACGGTAGCGCACTTGAAAAAATTTCCGGCATTGAGGCCAACAAATTATGTGAATTACTCGTTGAATTAACCAGCTGTTCTCCTCGTGCCCTATTATTTAAGATTTTTTCTGACTCCTTGCTTTTATCCATAGCCATGATTTTATGAGGATTATGGAATTCTTGACGTTGGTGGCATTTTGGAATCCCAGTTGAAATTTTTTTTTCATCTTTGTTAAAAATTTTCCGAAGGTTTCCCTCTCCATTATATAAGAGAACATGATATTTACTATCGACGAATGGTTTTAATCTATCCATTGATTGATAGTGCTGCATTCGAGATAGTAAAATAAACAGCTCTAGAATGGTGTGGTTAAAATGTCCCCAAAGAGTCAAGAGTTCATCGGTCGGATTTTTCTCTTTCCTTACGTTTTGTATTGTTGAGACATCATACTCCATATAGACACCTACGAGATTATTAAGGAAACAGTTTCAATTTCATTCAATTTCATTAAAAAAATTAAAAAACAATTTCAAAAATGATAGGTACCTGCTAGTTCTTTCCACCTTTCATTGTAATTAAGTATATTGCACAAGTCTGCTCGAACTGAGTAAGGTAACTCATAAATAAATGTGCACCTGTCCATTTTTATAATTCACTTCTACTCGCTCCCATTGTAAACTTTTTTTAGCATGTAGTACTATCTATAAAATAAGTGTTTTTTTACTGCTTATTGTTTTTATACAAACAAACAAAATGTTAATTTTATTATTAGTGAAAAAGGAGAAAAGGAACATTCCGTTAGTTTAATCTTGTTTGGTTATAATTATTTATATAAACTCTAATTTTTTTATTTTATCCAAGCTTAAAGCTACAATAATGTGTAATGAAAATGGAAAAGATGATAACAATTCAGATTATGATAAATATTCTATGATAAAACGACCGTAAATCAAACAATATACTTTTAACAATACTGCGTGACAATCATTCGTAAACATTTGTATTGAATACAGTATTTTTGATGCAATTATGATATTTAATTTATATATGCAGCCATCATAAAATTAGATTAATAAAAAGTAACAGATTCAATTCTTTAGACAAACTCCAACGAATATGTACTTACTGGAGTTTTTTATAAATCAACAAGCTAAAAAAAGGCTGGAATTACAGAAGCTGAGACATGAAACGCTTCTCTGTCACCTCGGATTAGAAAAGATGTATAAAAAAAATTTACTCAACGAATCAGGCTAGCAGCGAAGCCACCACTCACTAGTAGGCTCTCCTCACCAATCGTCATTGGGCACATTTACAAGAGATAAAAAGAATTGTAAGTTGTACGTAATCAAATGAAGGTTTGTTTGTAAGTATAACTCTTGTGCTGTGTCATACTATAATTCTGCGTCCTAATATTTATAAGAAAATTTACTACAATTAAAAAAAAAAAAATTATTTAACCATTTCCGCTCTTGAGTTGCGTACAATACTTTTTTTTAATTTGCAGTGAAACTTCAGCAGTATGATAGAATTTAAATCAGTCCTCAGTTTTCTTAAGATCCATGAGCTAGATTATCAATACAGCTAAGAATCATTTTCAGCCCTAAGTAGTATACTAAAAACTCCAGTAATCACTTACTGTTTAAAAATCGCAATTTTTATTTTTGTACACTAGAAATATGATTACCTAAGCATGGAAAATCAAGAATGGTCATTTTACACGTAAAATTGTACGGTCAGGACTTACACTTTTTCTAATATTCACGGGAAACAAAAACAAAAAATCGAATTTTCGTGACTTATTTATTATTAACAAACTAATCTTGGCTACTTCGTTGTTACTGCTACTTATATGTTCCGTAAAACACTATTTCTGAGCGATAAAAAAAATAGGTGCTTGGAGGTGTGAATTCAACGATTCTGCTAGTTCATACAGTGAAAGTGATTATGTTGGTATGGAATGGAATTTTGATTTTGACTTCTAACCACACGGTGTGCGAGTCTTTCATGTGGGCCGCTTGCAAAGTTCCTCTCAAATGACTCGGTCACCCATCCCACTGGGTACTATTTAAAGGGTATAGCAATTGTCTTTAGCACACCCCAACTATTTATCAAGTTTAATGGAAAGATGTTTTCCAAAAAAACATCTAAACTCGCTGTACCCACCTTTTTATAACAACAAACAGTGACTTTTACCCGATGAGCTGGCCAGGTGTTGGCTTTCCTTCTAAAAGGAAGCCCTTGGAGGTCCAGACATCACGAGAAAAATCGATTACTTGTTATAAAAATCGGATGAGTGGTTTTTCGGCATCCTGGGTACTCATCTCATTGAAAAATATCTCGATAATTTTCGACAGAATTCGAACCCACGACCCCTCGAGTATATCCAGATAGGAGGCTACCATGCTAACCACTAAGCCATCAAAGCTAAAAGTGATTGTGTTATTACTACGTAAAGACCTGTAAGTACTCGTAATCTCGTGACAAAGTAAAAAACTAGCTTTACTGTTAATCTTTCCTGGTTTTTTCATACTTCGACTCTGAAAAAAAAATTTCTAAAATTGATTTTTCCACAAGGGTTTTTATGAGATAAAGTTCTCATTTTCTCACATTAAAAATAGGAGCTTAAATTGCAATGTGTTTAAAAAAGCCTTAACTACCCACACAAAAATGCTCAGCGGATTTTTTAATACTCTCATTCTCTTTATCTCTCTCCCTTGCTCCCTCTTCCCCTCTCTTCTTTTTTCCACACATAATTTCACATATGCCTGTGCGAATAAGTGAATTTTATCGTCGTATCTACATTACATTAATCTTTGAATATAGCTTTACTAAAAAAAATTGTGTTTTTTTTTTTTTTGCTTTCACCCTTTCCTTATTAGAAAATTTATCATTAATTTTTTTTTAAGTCCAGTTTTTCTAGTGTTTGTGCTTATGAATAATAAATATGTTAATGAAATCAGACTAACTATTTACAATAATCAACAAGTATTGTAATGATTTGAATTGTGAAAATAGAAAAAATGTATAGAGCAGTACTTATTTTACTATTTGAAGCACTGGCATTGCACTTTACCTTAAACTCAATCCTGTAGTTTCAAAATTAATACTACAAGTATGTTGTTCAAGAAGGCTCCCTTGTGCTAGTGTCACGTAATAAAATATGTCATTAAATATGTAATAATACGCTGAATCTAGTGGTCCCTTATTTATACCCTTAACCAAAGAAAGTCTCAAGAACTTCATGCTTAAAGTTTGCTTTGTAAACTGGAGCGGTTAAGGCAAACATACTAATTGTAAGATGAACGATTTGCAACCCTTATCAAAAGTGTCAGGTATTTTAAGTATACAGGAATTGTAAATTATAACTTCAACTTTAAAATTCCTTGGTGAAAAATATGGGTAAGCAAACTAAAAATTGAAATAACCGACGAAAAGGGACGATAAATGTATGCAGTCATTGATGTCATGTTGTGTACACGTTAATTTGAATATATATATATACTACAACTACCACAACTACTGCTACTACTACTACTACTGCTGCAGCTGCTGCTACTACTACTACTACTACTACTACTACTACTACTACTACTACTACCTCTCCCGGGTGGAGTTTTTGCTGGTTTCTCCATACCAGGCGCTTCCCCGGGTAGCGGATAGAGGCATCCTCATAAGATATGAGGTGACGATGGTCAGCTGGGGTGGCTTCTTGTGGTGGTGGTCAGGGGCGTGGATTGGAAGGCGTGTGCGGCGTTGGCATGTGTATCTGTAGCGGTGTGGACGGGGGACTTGTGCCCTGTGTTTTTATCGATGTGAATGCATGAGACGGCCCTGCTTGTGCTCCTTGTTCTTTGCTTTCTGCTGTCCTCATGGGTGGCGCTCCAATGCTTGATGCGGGCCAACAAAAACTAGCACCCGTCGTGCATAGAAGTAAGCGGCAGATATAACATTCTTTTCAAATACATGCATTACACTCTCACTAAACAAACACAGAAATACTTACGGATTGTTCCCAGTTGCGGGTGGTGGGTTCTTTCCCGGGCTTGCGTTGGATGCCTGGCGGCGGGTGAAACTGGACGATGAGGCCCAGGTAAGTCTGAGTAACCACGTATGATATGGCTGTCCGCCTCATAAGCAAAAAAGACATGGTGGGCTGACTAATCTAGGCTTACTTCCACTAAAGAGGCTATATGGTGGCACCTTAGTGACTCACGTCAGCTCGTTTGGTTGGGTTGCCTGCGTGGTCTTGGGACTGTACACCTACCGCACGTCTCACTGGGATGACTGTAGTGTACCAACATATACATACATTACTCACGAACGTCATTAGACTTTTTACTCAACGCCAGGGCAGTCTCTGCAGGTGGGACTGACGGAGAATGGCGACTCCCGGCAGGCCCGAGCAAGTAGCGGTTCTCTCTGGTATCAGAGTGGGCTGCTGTCCTGGTTTTAATCCTTTCCAAATACTTATTTCTAGAAAAAAGGGTAGTGCTGGCCTTTGCGGGTCAGAACGACATTAAAAAAGATGCCGATATGAAAAACGTCGATGCAAAACTTGTACCCCAGGCACTTGTAACCTCATTTAGGGAATCTGCCGGCAGTTCCGATCCGGTGAAAGCCCAGTTGACTGTCACAGGCCCCACGGATTCTGGAGGGGGGGGGAAGGGGGAGGGACACAAAGACGTGTCTCATAGCCATCAGGGACTGCTTAATGTTTGATGGTTCTTTCTAACGAACAAAGGACGAAGGAGAAGCCTGTCGAGCATAGGAACCAATGACACCGAGGACAGCAACGTGTCAGTATTTAGTCACCAGACCCAGGAGGAGCTTGCCTCTTTAGAAGAAAGTGGTGCTAAGCTCAGAGTAAAGCGACAGCGAGTGGCTGATAAAGTCCAATCAGGAACGAAAGACATTACACAGACGCTACAATTAATTAACGATAAGTACGGCAACACAGCGAACGCTGTTAAAAATGGGCTCAAAGCCGCGCTTAAGCATCTTCAAGAGTAAGAGGTGCTGAGAAAAGGCTGTCTTACTAAAGAAGATATATATACGAACGCTCGGAAGTCGTCATCTGAATCCCTGCAGTGGAAGGAACAAAGGCGAGATAATTTTCGACGGCATGTACAGAAAAAAACCCTGAATACTGCCCTAAAAGAAATAAAACGAAGTAAAAGAAACAGGAGCCCTTCGAACAGCCCTGAGAAACGCCAGCAGACTGTCTTCAAAGAAAAAGAAAACAGACAGTGGCAAACAAGAAGAAATTCCCCTTAATGACAAAACAAGCCAGAAAAAAAGTGGACGCCACAACAACAGTAGTAGTGAAGATGGCTGAAGGACAGACCTTTGCAACGGTGTTGAAGACGATAAAGGCAAACTTTGACCCTGATAAGGCTAACGTGGCAGTCCAAAGTGTTGTTACTACAAAAAAAGGAGACATACTTATTAAGGCCAAAGGTGCAGAGAATGCTACTGCATTCTCACAGCAAATTGAAAAGTCGGTAGCTGAACAGGGTACTGTCAAAATGAGTAACAGAAAAGTGATATTAGAGGTCCGAGACCTTGGATGCCATTGTAGAGGAAGATAAAGTCAAAGAGGCTTTCGCTAGGACTTTTGGACATCAGAGCCAGGAGCCAGAAGTAGCTCTCTTAAAGCCAAATACCAGAGGACAGAGGCTGGCTTTAATAAAGGTTGACGAAG